AAAATTGAAAGATTAAGCATTTGATTATGTTGTAAACAATGACTTTTTGGGTTCGCATGGATCATATAATCGCTCTCAAATAGAGTCAATATACTTGCATGTACACTTATGTTCTTTCTGTTGTACAATTGCTTTTTAACATAGTACACTAACTTGTTGATAGTGTCCAAGCTAAAGTGTACATGCTTAAAAAATGGACAACTTTTTTCAAACTAAGTACACTAACTTAATATTTGATCAGTTACTAAAGATTACATAATCCATGTTAGTGATTATTGCAATTTTTATGCATGGTAATAGCCTTTCTAATTTGCTAATGAAGCAGAACAATCTATTAAATTCTTAATAAAATCATAAACATATTTAAGACATCCTAAAAATCTTTGTAACTGATTAAAAATTTTTAATATCCTTTTGTAAAACATCTTTAGCTGCTTTGCAATCAATTTGCAACAAAAACTTTTTATCTATCAAATCATCTTGAAATTTTGTAATACATATAACAATTGATAAAATTTCCAAAACCAGAAACCCAAGATGAAAATGAAAGAAATTGGAATTTTATCTTGTAGAAATAATACGATATGATGCTTGTTTGTAAAAATTAAAGCAGGCGACTTGGCCGACCATATGCATGTGGCAAGCGTTAATACCGGCCAAACGCTTGCCACATGCAAGATGCATGTATACATAAGTCTGGAATATAAAATTTGAAATATTATTAGAGAACTTATAGAATTTTGCTTTGAAATAATCCTATCTATTACAAGGGAGTTGGGCATTTTGAAAGACTAAGGGTTTTAGAGAGAGGAGCTTGAGAGAGTAATTTCAGAGAGAAGTTCTTCTTCACTTACTTTGTTTGGCTACCTTCCTCTTCTTTATATAGAGTTGATAAGAGAGATATGCTTGAGAATATCCTTCCAATGACATCATTACGTGAGGAAGAAAACAGTCCAAATTCACCCCCAAATGGATGAAATTCAATTCGGCCCCTTTTCTCTGATTTGGTGATCAAAAGCCCCCAAATTTATGTTTTTGATGTGAAATTGTTGAGGGTTTATGACCAGAAGATATTGGGGGATGTTTTTATGGTGAAAGATTGGAAGGTTAATGGAGAAAATGAAAGATTGGCAAGAGGGGCTAGGGTTTCGGTGGAGGAGAAGAAGAAGAAACTGGAAATTGAGGAACCAAGGCCGCGGTTCTGCTCTTATCGTGAACCGATCCGAGGTCGGATCGGTTCTGAAAGCCCGCGGATCCTATGGGCTCGGATCCGTCTCACCAGATGATCAGATGAGCCCTCGGATCCAACTAAATTTTGTTGGATTCGAGCTCGAATCCCCTATTCTGAAATTTTCACTATGACACGATCCGTGGTTGGATCATGTAGAACAAGGCTCGGATCCTATAGGCTTGGATCTGGTCTTTCAGAAGCACAGACGAGCCCTCGGATCATGGTGAACAACTTAGGATCCGAGGTCGGATCTCCCAATTTCGCCTTTGAACCTTAAAGGATCCGAGGTCGGATCCGTCTGGGTTGAGTTGGATTCGAGCTCGAATCTGACTTTTTCTGCAACAATTTTAGAAACTGCAATTTTTCAAACTTTTTCTCCCTTTTCCGACCAATTCCAAATTACACATTGGACAAACTTTTTATCAATTCCAACTCCCCACGCAAATGTAATATACCATAAACACTAAATCCAACCTCTCAAAACACATCAAATACATTTACATTGCAAATCGAGTAGTGAGGTTCTTTGATCATTTTGCACTTTTACACCAAAATGGCACCTTTAGGTATGAAATGCACATTAAATGAGTCCATAAGCATTTATAAACATGTTATCATCGAAACTCACTTGAATATACTGGAAATGCAACATTGTATATATGAATGGGAATTCTAAACAGTTAAAACACAATTTAGTAAGAAAACCTCCCTTTTTACGCTTGTTCTTCAAATGCACCTCCAAGATGGATGTTAAAACTTAGGTACCTCCTACAAACACGTGAAATACATATAATTAGTCAATCAAATAACACCAAAATGTAAGAAACACATAAAAACACACAACTACAATATTATTATTGGGTTGCCTCCTAACAAGCGCTTTGTTTAAAGTCGTTAAACTAGACTCTCCTACAACTTCTTTAACTTTCCCTTGTGTTTCCTAAGGAGTAAATCACTCCTTTAGGAACCCTTTCTCCGGCCAAATAGAACTTCAATCTTTGACCATTCACTTTGAATGGGGCACCATTGTCTCCTTTTATTTCCACCGCTCCATAAGGAAATGTGCGAACTATTTCAAATGGTCCGGATCATCGAGACTTAAGCTTTCTAGGGAATAATTTAAGTCTTGAATTAAACAATAACACCTTTTGCCCTTCTTCAAAATGCTTAGGAAGAATATATTTATCATGCCAATATTTGATCTCCTCTTTATAAATTTTGGCATTTTCATACGTCTGTAGCTGGTGTTCCTCCAATTCACTTAACTCAAGTAGCCTCCTTCCACCTGTAAGATTAAAATTCATATTAATTGCTTTAATAGCCTAATAAGCTTTATGTTCAATCTCTACAGGTAAGTGACAAATTTTTTCATAGATTAAACGATACGGCGACATCCCTAAAGGTGTCTTAAATGCCGTTCGGTAAGCCCATAGTGTATCATCTAGCTTTGTAGCCCAATCTTTGTGTGATTTAGTCACAATTTTCTCCAAATGAGTTTTATCTCTCTATTACCTAGTTCCGCTTGTCCGTTGGCTTGAGAATGGTACGGAAGTGATGTTTTGTGCCTGCAGCCATATTTAAACAATAAAGAGTCAAGTTGTTGATTACAAAAATGTTTTCCTTCATCACTAACTATGGTCTTTGGGATACCAAATCTGTAAAAAATGTTCTTTTTAAGAAATCGGAGTACAACCTTAGAGTCATTAGTAAGTGAAGCGATTGCCTCTACCCATTTAGAAACATAATCCACTGCTACTAAGATGTACTTATTATTAAAAGAACTAGGGAATGGTCCTATAAAATTAATGCCCCAAACATCAAATAACTCAACTTCCAAATATGTAGTTAGAGGCATTTCATTCTTTCTAGAGATGTTACCAGTTCTTTGGCATTGATCACAACTTTTAATCCAATTTCTAGCATCTCGGTATATAGTAGGCCAGTAAAATCCAGATTGCCATACCTTTGCTACGGTCTTAGTTGTACTAAAATGACCTTTCGTTTCAAGAGTATAACAATGCATTAAAATACTGTGTACCTCTTCTTCCGGAACACATCTTCTAATTATTCCATCTGCACAAATTTATAAAAGAATGGTTCCTCCAAAAAATAATGTTTAGTATCATTTAAGAATTTTTTCCTTTGGTGGGAATTCAAATCACTTGGTATCACTCCACTAACTACAAAATTAACTAAATCAGCATACCATGGTGACTTTTGAATTGCCATTAAAAACTCATCTGGAAATTCTTCTTTAATGGATGAATGGTCTTCTTGAGGCATGTTTTCCAGTCTAGAAAGATGATCAGCGACTAAGTTTTTGGATTTTTTTTTATCTTTGATCTCCAAATCAAATTTCTACAAAAATAAAATCCATCGAATTAGTCGAGATTTTGCATCTTTCTTATTTAAGAGATACTTGAGTGCTGCATGGTCGGTATAAATGATAACTTTAGATCCTACTAAGTACGATCTAAATTTATCCAATGCAAATATCACTGCTAGCAACTCCTTCTCTGTTGTTGCATAGTTGACTTGGGTTTCATTTAGCATTTTACTTGCATAATAAATGACATGAAGTCGCTTATCATGTTTTTGCCCAAGAACAGCTCCAACTGCAAAATCACTCGCATCACACATCAATTCGAATGGCAAGCTCCAATCCGATGATGCTATTATAGGTGCGAAAACAAGTTCCTTCTTCAACCTATTAAAAGCAAATAAGTACTCATCATTAAAGTGAAAAAGAACATCTTTTGCAAGTAATTCACATAAAGGTTTGGCAATTTTGGAGAAATCCTTAATAAACAGCCAATAAAATCCCACGTGTCCAAGAAAGCTTCGAATGCCTTTCACATTGGTAGGTGGAGGCCTTCTCTCAATAACCTCTATCTTGGCTTGATCTACCCCAATATCTTGTGAAGAAATTTTGTACCCTAGAACAATACCCTCACAAATCATGAAGTGACATTTTTTTTCAATTGAGTACAAGATTTGTTTCTTCACATCTCTGCAAAATTAGATCTAAATTATTAAAGCAATAATCATAAGTAGATCCAAATACAGAAAAGTCGTTCATGAAGATTTTCATGATTTTCTCATTAAAATCAGAGAAAATTGCCATCATGCAACGTTGGAAAGTGGCCGGTGCATTACACAATCCAAAAAGCATTCTTTGAAATGCAAAAGTGCCGTAAGGACAAGTGAATGTGATTTTCTCTTGTTCTTCCGGTGCAATGACTATTTGATTGTATCCTGAAAAACTATCTAAGAAACAATAAAATTCATATCCAGCCAATTTTTCTACCAGTTGATCAAGAAAAGGAAGAGGGAAATGATCCTTTCTAGTAGCTGCATTCAGTTTTCTATAATCAATACAAACTCGCCACCCAACCACAACTCTAGAGGGAATCATTTCATCATTTTTACCACGTACTATGGTTATCTCCCCTTTTTTTGGCACTACATGAATAGGAGAGATCCAAACACTATCAGAGATTGAAAAAATTACACTTGCATCCAGCCATTTAAGGATTTCTACTCTTACCACTTCTTTCATATTTGGATTTAAATTTCTTTGAGTCTCAACCACCTATTTAGAGTTTTCTTCCAACAAAATCCTGTGCATACAAATAGTTGGACTAATTCCTTTGATATCAGAAATTGTCCATCCTATAGTCTTTAAATGCTTCCTCAAAACACGTAAGAGCTTTCCTAGTTGTTCCTCATCTAGTGCAGCATTGACAATCACCGGCAATGTCTCCTTTTCTCAAAAAAATGCATATTTAAGGTGTTTAGGGAGTGGCTTAAACTCAAGCCGTGGAGCTTGCTCACACGATGGTGGAGGTAGCCCTTTGCTTAACCCTAACTCCTCATATGCATTTCTCCTTTTGTAAGGAACATGTGCCTGCAAAAATTCAGTCTTTTCTTCAACTTGTTTCTCTTGTAAGCCTACACCATTAAGACAAAGTTCAAGAGAATCATCATCAAGATTAACTTGACTCATCTCTAATACCAATTCATCACATATGTCAACAGAATAAACATGATCAGTAAATGAGGGATATTTCTCCACTTTACTCAAATCAAACTCCACTTCCTCTTCACCAATTTGAAACTTGAACTTATCACGTTTAACATCTATTATTGTACCTGCAGTAATCAGAAATGGTCTACCAAGTATAATAGGTACATTGACATCTTCCTCTATATCTAAAACAATAAAATCAATAGGAATAATGAATTTCTGCACTTTAATAAGCACATTCTCCAATATGCCCATTGGATGTCTAATAGACCTGTCAGCCAATTGTAAGAAAATATTAGTACGTTTTAACTCTTTCAATCCCAATTGCCTAGCCACAGTTAAAGGAATCAATGAAACACTCGCACCAAGGTCGCATAGTACTTTAGAGAATTTTACATTACCAATAGTGCAAGGAACTGTGAAATTTTCCGGATCTTTCAACTTTGGTGGCAATTTATTTTGTATGATGGCACTACATTCTTCCGTTAATGCAATTGTCTCACTATCTACTAATCTCCTTTTCTTAGTGATTATCTCCTTGAGAAACTTTGCGTATGAAAGAATCTGGAAAGTAGCATCAACAAAAGGAATATGTAATTGTTTGAGAATGTTGACAAATTTCTCAAATTCTTTGTCATTTCTCGAAAGCATCAATCTTTGTGGAAATGGCACCGATGGAGGAAGTTGTGTTGTCTCATCAATTTGTGGCTCACTTCCTTCCACCTTGTCTTTCCCTTCAATTGACTTGTTATCATTTCCTAACTTACTCAACTGTTTGTTTTCACTTCTTTCATGTTTTCTCACATTTTCAATTACAGGTGGCTCACCCACTTCCTTACCACTTCGGAGAGTTATGGCCTTCACATGCTCCCTTGGGTTCACCTCAGTCTTGCTAAGTAAATCTCCTTGGTTGCGATTGTTAATTGTATTAGCTATTTGCCCTAATTGGATCTCAACATTCCTGTACATATTAGTGAGTTGGTCCATTCTTCCCTCAATTCTTTCAAACCGTTGAGTAGTGGCACTAGCTAACTTTTCAATTTTATCATTTGATACATTTGCCAGCTTCTCAATTGCCAATTTCCAAGTTGGTTTGGACTCCGGAAGTGGTTGCTTCGGTTGAAAATTCGATGGATTAACTGGTCTTTGTTGGTTCTCTTGATCTTTCCATCCAAAGTTTGGATGGTTACGCCACCCTAGATTATAGGTATTGGAGTATGGATTATTTTGGGGTGGACGGTTGTAATTGTTGAGATATTGAACCTGTTCGCTGCTAGAACGCATAGAATCATCATGGTCTCCTCCATAGTTAATACAACAAGCAACAACTACTCCTTGATTAGAACTAGAACCAATTTGCCTGTTAAGCATCTTAACCACATTATCCATCTTTACACTTAACATATTCAAGGTATCTACTTCAAGCATACATGCGGTTCTCCTTGTATTACCTCGTTCGTTGGCCCCTTAATAGTTATTAGCAGTCATTTTTTCAATCAATTGTTGAGCTTCCTCGGCTGACTTTTCCATCAATGCTCCTCCCACTGCCGCATCTACATGCGTCTTTGTTGGATAAGTGAGACCATTGCAAAATGTTTGCACTATCAGCCAATCTGGTAAACCATGATGAGGACATTTTCGTTGTAATTCCTGATAGCGCTCCCAAGCTTCGTACAATGTCTCTCCTTCCTGTTGAGAGAAACTAGTTATATCCATTCTAAATTTAGCAGTTTTTTCAGGTGGAAAGAATTTATTAAAAAAATCCTTAGCTAATTCAGCCCAAGTAGTAAAAGTATTTAGATGATGAGATTGTAACCAAACCTTGGCCTTGTCCCTTAGCGAAAATGGAAACAATCGAAGTTTAATTGCATCATCACTAACACCATTAAATTTAATTGTATCACAGATTTCAAGAAATGTTGACAAATGAGAATTTGGATCTTCAGTAGCATTACCTCCATATTGAGATTGTTGTACCATTTGAATTAGTGATGATTTAATCTAAAAAATTATTAGCATTTACCGTTGCCCTTGCGATACTAGTTTGAGATTCTTGTGTCCCCGATAAAGAAAAATCTGGTAGAGTTTACCTATTTGGTTTGTTTTCCGCCATTTCTTCCTCAAACGGTAGCTCTATCAAAATTTCCTCTATCGGCTGCCAAATCTCTTGTTTCTCTTGATGTGGTATATGCCTCCTTTGTCTCCGTAGTGTCCTCTCAATTTCTGGATCGATAGGTGCAACTTCTCAATATGTTCGGTGCAAACACTACAAATAGAAATAAGAGAAATTATACAACTTTAATTGTCAAAAACTAAATTAATGCAAAATCAACTATAAACAACTTAAATGGAAATATCTAAATTAATAAAGATGATTAGGCCCTAATATTGACGCTCCTCGGCAACGGTACCAAAAACTTGAAGGGATTTTTATATCAATGCAAGTTTAAATCCAATTTTATACCCGTTGACTGCAAGTATACAAGCCGAAATCGTAATGTATGGTATGTATCGGGTTGATCCCACGAGGAGCAATTTAAACAAGTATTAGGCCCTTATTTTCTCTATTATTTAGACTTACGATAAATCTGAGCAAGAAGATTATAACGCTATTGTCTACAAATCTGGTTTAATAAATGCTAAATGCAAATGGAAAAATTTCACTGAAGATTGAATCTAGGGATGTAGATTCCACTTATGGCATAAACAACACAAATGAATAGATTTACCTCTTGTTATTATTTTTGTTTAACCAAGGATTCATTTTCAATATTACCAAATCTCATTCTCATGATAAAATGACCTAGAGCAATCCAGTTTTCCCTATTTTCATGGTGAAATACTAGTTCTACTCTGTTTTCTTTCATGAAATGCTAGACAATCCACTTAAGTGTACATTTATGTTCATGAACATACAACTCAAGCTTTACTCATGTTTTTCCATTGTTACTACCAATTCTCATTGACTAATAACAACTATAAACATGCTATTGGTGATCAAACAGCAACAAGTACTTACAATTGCACAAATGGACAAGTTAATACAAGATATAACAAGCGTAAATCACATTCAATTCATATCATTTAGCCATAAGTTTCATCTACTCCCTAGATAAAGAAATTTAGCTACTCATGAATGATATAACAATCAAATTCACAAGTTTATTAATGCAAAATATCATAAAGTACAAGTACAAGAAAGATAAAGAAAAACTTAGCCAATTAATGGTGAAACCCTCAAATTTCTGCTATGTCTTGTACAAGATGATTACAAGCGAAGTCTCCAAGTGCTTCTTCAAAAACTTCTAGCAAGAAAGAAACTTGTTACAAGAGGAAAAACTCCCTACGTATGGTGCTCTGGCTTCTCCTTGGTTCTCTGCATAAAAAGTGGTGGAAAGCACCTTTTTCCTCCTTCATGATTCTAACAACTAAGATTTTGTTAAAGAAAGTCAAAAGACATGTTGTTTTGACTTGTCAATAACTCATTTTGTCTTCCATTTTGTTGCAGAAGCATGTGCGATCGAATTCTCTCACCCAAGATAGCTGGAAAGTTGTGTAAAAAGTGAGAAAAACGGTTGTGCCACTTTGCAGAAAAGAGAAGCAGATCCAAGTCTCGGATCCGAGGGTTGAAGAAGGATCCGAGCTCGGATCATCGCTGATCCGAGGCCTTTTCCATATGGATCCGAACTCAAATCGTCTGACCTCGGATCTATTGCTCCAGAAGTACAGACGAGGGCTCGGATCGCCTTAGTTCACACGGATCCGAGCTCGGATCCGTGCTAGTCAATTTCTAGTTTTTCATTTCTTTCCTTTTTCTTCATCTTTTGCTCCTAGTATCTTTGTACTTGTATCCTCCAGATGATCCTTACATTTTCTTCATCTCGTGCATGAATTTTATATATCAATATCCTTCACATTTCACAAAATTAACGCGTTAATCCACTCATTTATCAGGTTTTGAACACTTAAACAATATTTAAGCAATTATCACTAAAAGAGTTCAAATATGGCTTTAATCTTCTCAAAACCTACCAAAAGTTCATGCCAAACTTGTACAAAATGCACGTTAAATATTCACTTATCAAATTCCCCCACACTTGAATCATTACTTGTCCTCAAGCAATTCACACACAACTTACTACAATGATTCAAGATATAAAACAATATACGTACTTTTGTCAAATTTAATTCCTCAAAACCTAGAAACCAATCATTATGCCATTTCTCAGATTACACTAAATACTCATAATATCAAGTTAAAGAAAGATAATTGTGCCTTAATTTTAACAACTTCAACTCAATCTCTTATTCTATCCTAATTTCACAAATAAGTAAATCACATAGTCAATTTTATGGCCTTTCTCATCATATAACCATCAAAATTTTCACATCTTAAGAGGGATTTAATCACACTTCATTTTACTTAAATAGTGAAAATGTCTTTTTACACGAAAATCGACACTTTTAGGTGAAGATACTCGGTTACTCAACATTTCACTTTTTCAAGTTGCTATGCATACTCTTAATTCAAAATACCTTTTTACGCGAATGTCGACATTTGTAGATGCCAACCCCCGGTTACTCGGCACCAGAATTATTGGAGTAGAACAATTATTATAATATATATATATATATATATATATTTTTTGATATAACAATCAAACTTCCCTCATAGACAATATATATATATATATATATATATATATATATATATATATATATATATATATATATATATGCATAATTAAAGGATGAATCTGGCCTATTTTTTATTATCAATCACTTACTTATAAAATTAAGCAAAAATGAGAAATTTCATTAAAAATGAAAAATTCTAATCATAATTTTCCTTACTTAACCGAATATACTTTCTAAAACGTAAAAATTCTAATTGCATAATAACCAAATCCAAACCAAATGAGGACTAAACTTTCCAAAATACATATAACATTTTATCCAATGGAAGAATTAGGCACTTTAAGGTTGAACAGTTTGGCCATTTATTAAAAAATTGCTTTGAAATATTGAAAAATATTTTAGAAAAATTTTGACAGAGCTTCCCCATATTAATGGACAAAACTCCCTGCCAACAACCTCAAATGAAGAAACCGCCTCCTCCTTTTAGTCCCTTTTTTGGGTACAATTCTATGCATATGGCGTCTGGATTGCTTTACGCACAAGACTAGCCTAACATCCCAATTTCCCTCTTTTGGCTGCCATCACCTCCATCATATACACCATTTTGTACCATTTCTTACTTTTTAAAAAAATTTCAAAAGCGAAAAAATGAATTATTTGGTTTTTGTCTTCGTAGTTAAGAGTACAATGTAAATTAAGGTCCAAACTGATCATTTTATTTGTTATCTGCAACTAAAACTTCAACCAGAAATGAAATGTTTACAGCTTTAATAATTTTAGCTGCAGAACTTCAAAGTTCTAAAACCTTATGAAGGTGTAGACAGATATGGTCATGGATCCAGAACCGCTGGTTCCGATTTAAAAATCGATGGTTCCGGCTTTTTTTTGAATAGGGATAGTTTCAGTTACGTTCTTAAACCCCTAGTTCCAATCTGATTTCAATTCCAATTTTATTTCGATTATGATTCTATTTTTTTTTGTTATAGTTCCAGTTCTTTTAGTTATGTATTGTCACAAAATTAATTCTGAGAAAATATGACAATAAAAGTAGAAAAAATAAGAACTTTATTGTATTATCATGTACAAAGAAAAAGAAAAAATGATGCAAAAATTTATGAAAATGCCTCATTACTGATTAAAAATTGGATTGGTCTTGGACTTAATGTAGTTATAGGATTTAGACTTACTAATGGGATACAGCAATGGGTTGTTGGATTTGAATTGGAAATGCTGATGTTAAGTGCTGACTATTGATATTGAACTCTAAATAGGTCAAAATAGATTTGGGTAGTAAGTGTTTTTTCAGACTATTTGAACTGGTTCTAAACTATCGGTTCTCCGATCCAAGTATTTGGTAAATCTGAACTTGAACCTTTAATCACAGTTATAATTCCCATCCCGATTTCCAAAATTTGGTTTCGATTCTGGTTCAAACGTGAACCGTGGCCATCCCTAGCTATAGATAATTGATGGTCTAATCTAAATAAATGCATCATTGCATATGCCGGTCATGGGTCTTGTCTCCCCTCCAAACAAGCAAATTTCTCGAATCAATGCGGAACTTCATCAAGTGTCCTCAAATAAACCAAGTTTGAAATGGAGTGGAGTCAAACGTGCTCTCAATCAAACTTATGGTATTAAACTCGGTTAAATTTTGTATTTAAAAGGTGATTGGCCCTTAAAAAAGCAAATTTAAAGGGCTTGTCAGTCCTTTGTCAGTGGGAAGTTTTGATCAAGGACTCTAGCTCCTT